AGATGATTTGATAAAGCAATGATGTATTAATGTGATTCAGAGAACATAAATCAAAAATATATATGCGGCGATATAATTTATATATAAAAAAAACGTATACCAAAATGATATAGACGATACTTCCAACATATTATATATCCGGCTATATTTTTTGCCGGGATAAGATATTTTACGACAGACCAAAACGCCTGCACCCTTCTTGCTATTGGCCATAAAACTTTTTCTCTTAGACCGGGTGCATATTTTATTATTTTGGACGTAAAACTACGTGTTCTCACGAAATAGCTTGGAAATAAATGAAATAAATTCCAAGTGTAGTAAATAAACTCTCGCTGAATGATTTCTAGATATCGGAATAGAAATGTTGCTTTATTAATAAAAATTTTATTCGTTAGAATAAATTCATTACTAAGATATTAATCAGTTTTAAATTCATCGATGCTACTATCACGAATAGCTTAGGGTTTCGATTACAGGCAGCTTAATAAAGTAGTTTAGTGTTTGAGCTATCGTCCAAACTCTGAAACTAAGTCGACGATCTAAATCTATTAAACTAGAATTGAAGTCTGGAACGAATAAATGTAGTATGTAATTAGTCCAAACAAATAAAAAATATATAGCATGAGATGTAACATATTAAAAAAATATTTCTTTCTAATATTAATAAAGTTATAAATATAAAGACCTATTTCTTATATGTTTTTCTCATGTATTCTCTAAATAAAATATACGATCCGGAAAACACGAAGATCAGCATATTCAACCTACTGACCAGATGTATTTTATATTGAAAACTTAAAATGATATAGAGCTGGCTTCATGTAATATAATTTAGACTACTTCAGAAACCTAAAGCACTCACTACACTCACAGAGCAGTGTCTTTTAAGCTTAGTCTTATTGGATTTACACAAATTGCAAGCAACTAATTAAATTACTTATCATAATTATCATTTCGTTTATTTATTATAAGTTTACAATAAAAACCAAAAAAGCAAGTAAAAATTATAATATCGACTCTAATAGTATTACTTTGCAAACTATGTAGTTTTCACCAACGACTGTATTACTTGAAAATCTCGTTCACGTTTTTGTATGTATATTTTCGTTGCATTTTATATAAAAATCGAACACACTCACAAACGAACTAAAGATCGTTTTCAAATTATTAGGTATAGCATAGACGACAATTTTTTTACAAATTAGACATATTTATACATTATATAAATAGAACAAATTACATACGTCTTTTGCTAGCAAACTACACGTAATATTCTTGAAAATCCCTACCAAAGAGAAACATCACCACCGTAGTTTAATCATTTAACACTACATACATAATGAGTCACTTGGAATTACTTAAATATTAAAATATTTTCTAATAAATAGAGCAAATAAATGAAAAGTCGGTCCATTTGATACATTCCCCTTTTCTTCCTACAAAACCTGTTTAATTTTTTGTCCTTCCCAGATGTAACAATTTAAATGCAGCAAATAATTTCCTTAAGAAATTGTATAATGTAGTGGAACATTAAAAGTAGCCGGTGTTCAAGCTGCTATCTGTTGTGTTCTCTGGCTTCACCAATCTCATGATAATAAAACACTCATCATCGTTTATGTTTTAGTTTCAATGTTTTGGAATCATTTTTTTAACAACCTGCATCCATACATTGTATTTATCTTTAACATAAAAGATTAAAATGAAATTTTTAATATGCACATAAAACTTTTTTGTTTCATCCGTTTGAATATAATAAAAATGGGAAACAGCACCTTTCTGAGTGACTTTCGATTTTACCCAGCAATTAATTTTCGGGTCACGTATAAAATCGACATTGCGATCACGTGTTGTTGCAGACACCTATGTTAATAAAATACTTAAGTTCTCTCAAATAGCATTACATGATTTAGGTAGGGAGAAACTAAAATGTAACACAATTAAAATTTGCATATATGTGTAACAGAAAGTCGTATCTTACTTCAAACGACAAAACGTTTCGGTCATACATACATTAATATATAAATATATTAAATTTAATGTTTAGCAAAAACATTAAAACAAAGAATTTATATGTTACTTTTTATTTACCGTTTTCTGTTTAATGTCGTGAAAATCGAAATAATCCGAATCATTCATCTCATTTAAAGGAAACTCCGACTCGATAAAGGAATGTAGTATTTTAAAAAACGCTTAGGTTAAGTTAGAAGTCAAAAAGACAATGACAAATTGCACATATATGTATATATATTGTTTTTTTGAACTTCTAAAATAACTTTTTTATGATTTAATTGGTAAAACTCTTTAGGTTACAATATCCTAGAAGCAACAAGGCCATAGGATTTAACATCTAACTTGACAAATATGTATATTTAAAATAACGTTACAATTGGACAGATTCTTCTCACTCAAAGTATAAGATTTTGTCTGGTCGACGCGACGTCTCAAAATATTTTAATTTGTTATACTATTTTGCTATCCTGAATGTCACACGCAGAGAACATTTCTGAATTTATATAACAATATAACAAGGCTCTAAAATTATACTTTATAAAAGAAGTTTCTGAGAATTTGTTTTATTTTATTTTTTTGACATTCAGTAGTTTTTATCTATAATAAAATTTTTGATTTGTTTTTAATGAATTATGATTATACACTTACTAAGTATAAATATGTATGTATTAACAGCATTAGGAATAAAAAGTAGAGGGAATATAATGGTCATGTATATTAAAAAAAGACACGAATAAAATATATATGTACATATATCTAAATAGGTCTTGAGTCATAATAACTGTCACAAAAGGTTCCTATATCTATATTTATTTGTTAAGTAACATCAAAATGTTTTGTCAATTTACGAAGTAAATTCTTTGTCAATATTATCTACATTAGCGTCAGTGATGCGTCAACATGATCCGAACTCGTATATAAAGAAAATCATAGCGTAAAATGTGAAACCATATGAATTTATTTATATTGAAAATCACCAAAGAATTGTAGATACCAATACTAACGCTTTAACATTGTAGAAGAAGATCTTGCTTAAATATTATACAAACAGTACATTTCATTGAATGCAGTTATTGTATTATTATTAAAAAATGTGTATTTCCCTTTGATGTTGGACACTCTAAGTGAAAAAAATGCTTATTACTTTACTTGTGCCCTAAAAATATGAAACCATAAAATATTCGTGATGTATTTGAAAGTTAAAAATGAATGGAATTACACAGTAAGCTCAGTTTTATAAGTTACATTTAGTTTCACTCGTTATAAAAGTACTTATTGTATTATATCATGCTTTAATTTGAAGCTAATTTGAATTATTTATGAAAAACCAAAATTTCTAAGAATACTAAAGTATTAAAATATTTCTTCTTAAATAAAATACTCATTGGTCATTTTATTTTATTATCTTACAAGAAATAAATAACTTTCATATAACCCTTTATAAAATAAAAGTACATTAAGATTTTAGTCAAAATTATTACAGTATGATAAAAATATTTTTTAGCTGGGTTTTGTTGTATTATTTAACATTCCATCCGCATACTGGATAATATATGTTTTCAATTTATAATGGAGAAACGTTTTATATTTGAAATTTTAACATTAATAAATTACTGTACCCATTTACTTTTTCTCTGTCTTATTTTTCCTTTCTCTAACTTTAGATCTATCGAAATAATACACCAACCTTAAGATTTTTTACATCAAATAGCTCGTAATTGTAAGTTCGTTAGCCAGTTATATGAATAAACAAATTATCATTTATCTCATCGAGAATATCAAGGTAACGAAATCAAATCGAAAAATCCGCTATATTACGAAATCTACAAGGTTGTACTCGTTTATATTTATAAATAAAAGATATGACACGATAACCTCAATCAAACTTAAAAGCCAGGAGATAAGCAAATTTTACGAAGATAAATAGAAATATTTATTTCTTTCTTATTATCTCCCCTTTCTTTTATTTCAAGTTTTGTTTTTTTATTCGTTTTCAATAATAAAAAAAGATTCTTTAAAAAGTTTGTAAGGCAAAGGCCCTCGAACCGGTATTTTAGAAATCCGTAATAAAATGTACATATGAAGCTCTTGAATTATGATCACTAGTTTTAAATGATATAACTTTTATTGCCTGTAATATTCATATTACTATCATACTTTAAAAAAAATAATAATAGGAAACAAAATTTAATTACATTCTATTGTACAACTAGTGTTTATTCTAGTTTAAGTAACAAATTGGGAAATTTTATATGAATATGTATATGATATATTCTACTGAACCCCAGTAAAAATGGTTAATAAAATATATTTTTATGTTTGTATCGCAATTAGATGAGGATTAGAGTCACATATAATCGATTTATTTCATTAAGGCCTTTCACTCTCATTTAAAAGAAACAACTGATCTTGTTTCTTATGCAATCTTTGCTACCAATACCTTATTGTACGCAATATATTTTAATGGACCCTGTCGGGGACGAGCGAGAAAGGAACCCGTCTCACAGCACATACTGAATTGCGGCAGAGCAGCCTTTCACAACCACTTTCAGAATTAACGTAACCTCTTACATGAGTTAAACACGTTGAGTAAGGAAATATGAAATACAATAAGTTGCATTATAAATTTTATTACAAAAATAAAAAAGCTGTTTATAATACATAAACATAACAGTCGCAGTAAAATACTTTCATATGAACAACACAGTGCACTAATAACAAGTAATAATGATATGTCAATATGTGATAGAATAGTTGATTCTAAGCATTAGCCTGTAAACGAACAAAGAAGATGACTATGTACAGAGAGTTCTGCCACAGGCTAAAGATGTAGATATATAATATATTATTAAATTCATTATAACTTTTATATCATTAAGATTATAAAACTTTCGTATAAAAAGTGTGAATTGTTCGCAAAGCAATGATTGAATGTGTAACAATTGTAATTATTCTACCACCTAGTGACAACCATTTCTATTGATTTAGCTTTAGTGAAGTGGTCCTGCGATGTGGCCGGGAGGTCCGTATTGAGAGCTGGCAGCTCCGCCATGTCCGCTGGATGAAACGCTTTCAACACCACTTGAAGCGCCAAAATCAGAAGAAATCTCTACACCCCCGTGACCAGCAGAGCCACTGAGTAAGGAACCCTCGATTCCTGATCCACCACTGATAGCGCCGAGATCAGCACCACCAACTGAACCACCTAAAGACCCACCGCCGATAGAGCCACCGCCGATAGCGCCACCACCAATACCGCCACTGATTCCAGCGTCAGATTCCTTTTGGGTCTGGTACTTGATGAAGTATACTTCAGGTTTGGAGGGCTGAGTTGGTGCAGCGGTGGGGATAACAATGTCGGGTTGCTCTTCGGGTTTCTTGACAAGTACGTAAACAAGGGTCTTCTCTTCGTTTTGTTGTTGCACTGGGATAATGGGAGCTACTGGGGTAGGAGGGGTAGGTGCCTTGATGAAGATAATTTTGTAGTGCTTCTGTGGTGGTGCTACTGGGGTGATACGAGGAATTCTCTGTTCTTGGGGCTCTGGTGGGGGAACATGTACGTAGACATGCTTTTGAACGATGGGAGCGCTTGAGAATCCGCCACCCAAAGAACCACCACCAAAACCGGAGTCACCGGCAAATCCAGAGCTGAAACCTCCTCCGATTCCACCGCTGATTCCACCTCCAATGCTTCCGCTGCTTAAAGAAATTCCACCAGAAGAAAGACCACCACCAAGTGATATTCCACCGGATGAATGTCCTTCAGAAAGTCCACCAAATGATACTCCAGAGTGACTGCTTCCGAGTCCTATAGATGAGAAACCAAAACTGCCGGATGATGCGGAACCTTTGCTTGGAGATGGGTAGCTGTAACCAACTGGTGGCTCTGGGCGGCCGTAAGCCAACGCCACACAGGCGAGTACCTTAAAAGAAACAAGGACTCCTGATTAAACTGCCAATATAATTAACCGGGATATAAAACGAGTGTCTGATATAAAAGACTGTTTAAAATATATAAAATTCACTCCTATTGTATTATAATTTCGCCAAGCTTTGTGGTTTTGTTAACTTATGGCGTAAGATTATTATATAATCATTAAAGGAAACATGGTCTTACAAACTGATACATTATTTAAATGTAAGGAAAGTTGCTTTACATAACATTCCAAATAACAAAATGAATATCGATGCATTCACATCAGAGATATTCATAATACATTACTGTTTCCAATAATATTCTATATGTATGGATAAGTTGCCAAAATTCTTAATGATTTCTCAATAAAATCAAAACATCATCAATTCATAACAACATAATTTAAAGTAGTCCATATTACACCATATATTGTCACTGCACTTCACTTTTTTTTATTAACTTATTTTATTCATTTTAAAATAAAATACGAAAAATATATTAAAAGTAGAATACTTCATATAATATATTAGTTTTTAGATCCTACGTAAACTTACCACGAATGCGCGCATATTTTTCGTGGTGTTAGCAGATAACGAGTGAAGAGACTTCTCTGTTACGAGATATTATATATCACTTGCGAACAATGTACTTCAGGAGATGTTCCTGACTGAGTGAACTTGTGTTGACTGATGACATTCGCCACACCGACCCGCTCTTAAATACCAAAATGCTCATCTCGTCAGAACACTCCATCCCTACGGACATTTCACTCGGTAGCATGCAACTATCGTCATCATTTAACATATAAATGGTCCTTTCTTTTCGTCGTGGTCCGCGGTAGAGCGCATTCGACACGCAGCCTTAGCGACCAACACTCGCGCGCTCGTTACATTAACATTATTCAATAAACTATACGGTTCATAATACCGTATTCACTAAACAAATTGGACTAAAAAAAAATAAAGATCTTTTTCATCTGCGGCTAATGAATTAAACGGAATTTTACACAGATAATGATATAAGTTTCTGCAATTAAAATCGTTTCAACAATCAGTATACACCATAAATATAATAAATATATACTACATACGAAATTTATTGAAAGAAGCAATCATGAGTATAAAGATACAACCTCTGTATATGTCGTGTTTAATATGTATCTCTTTGTTGGTAGCGTAAAAGGGCAGCAAAGCAGATCACACTCGGCTGCAGAAAATTATTCCGCTACAACCACTCTGTAGATAAAGAGCTTTATGCTATTTAAGTACTTTCAAGTAATGAAATATATGCTCTCGACGTCGCACGGGTGTGTTTTTAAAGTTTTAATTTTATGCAATTATTTATACAACTTTCTTTACAATTATTACACTCCAGAATATGTTTTAATTCATTAATTAATTAATGTGCAAGGACGTGGAATAGAAAAGGAAACAAATTTACATTCCGTCCTGGTCTGCATAACATGAAAATGCTTTTAAACATAAAATGTGTTAGTTCAATGCAATTATACAATTTTCCTTTGACGTTAAAATTTTCTCACATCAAAAACTTTTTTAAATACCTTAATGTATTTGTAACTTTGCTCTTGTAAATCTTTTGTCATTATATGCGGGAAATCTTCCTATTGTATAATTATCATAATAAAGCTGATTAATTTGGACGGCAAATTAAACAATCAAAATGTAGGACAGGCAACTACTGCTTGAAATTAATTTATTAGTATCTGTGTTTATTAAAAAAGCAATTGGTAAATGACATCAGACAAGAACTGACTTTAATTTAATTTTTATATTTAGTTTGAATAAAATGTTTTTCATCCATAAACTAAGTTTTAAAATGTACATATAATATAGAAACAAAATATTGTACCTAATAACAACAATGCACAAGTAATGCTGTATAATTTGCAATTATAAACCCTACAGTCGTTCACTCGTTCTGATTGCAATGTCTGATTGTAATGATCATGTAGCAAACTCTAAAGGTATATTAAAATATTCCCAACAGATCAGGATTTGCATGTTTCGAACAATGGTTTTCTAATATTGCTGAACTCTCAAACATATGTACATCTAAATAATATGGAAGTTTTACATTGTTTTACCAGTGCGAAATGAAATAAATAAGTGTAAGGATTAGATCTTTAAAAATATATATTTTATAGACAAAATCCCTTATCATCTCAATACAGATATTATTCCTTAAATTCCGTGAATATAAACATATTACGGAAGATATGAAAAGATGGTTAGTTATTTAAATACCATATGCAAAATAGGCTTTCCAAATAAACATCACTTTATTTTTAAATAATTATTTTAATGCTAGTTCACAGAGTAGTTCTTCATGTACAGTGTACAGAAGCTCATAATCTTTTTAAGGCTTTTTACCAGATGCATAACTTGGTAAGCAGGTTCATTCATAATATACTTTTTTGATTTAAGAATGAAAAAAAACTATTTGCTATTTTACATATGTTTAATATTTATAAATAAAACATTTGAGATAAAATACCAAATACATTTGATAAACAAATATTTCAACACTTAAACGAAAACAACTATTTTAACCTACGTTTAAATTGTTCAAATATATTTATTTACAATGATTCACATCACCGTATCAATGTCCAGTTGATTAAAATAATTGGTAGTTAATGAAAGTTTTATAAATTACTATTTGTAAATATCTAAACGCTATTGAAATAGTGTTATGAATAATTATGAGAAGGGCATACTCTATCAATGAGAAACGAACCAGCCTGTTAAAAAGGCACTCATCTCAACACCGTGGCAAGGTCATGTGGTTACGTCCCAAAATATAATTATAATTTTAAAAAACATTTAACCTTGTCTTTTGAATATTAAAATATCAGCAAATTATATTCTTTTATACGTGTCAAAGGTCGAGTTTATTTAATTTTACTTAGATTTAGCTGTTGGATATCGGTCAAAGTTTGAGGCGTCAAGAATCATATCAAGACAATTGCCCAATCTTGGTAACAGTCTTACATTCAATATCACAAAATAATGAATATGAATATGATTTTGGAAACAAAAAGAACTATTATATACGGTATTCCGGTATTTCACGTAAAGTTATTGAAGTGCAGTCACTATCTAATACATTATTATTTAAAAAATATCAGTTAAATTATAAAATGTACGTTATTGGATCTTTCAAATGATTATTACCACTGATATGTTTTATATTGTCAACTTATATACGTAACAATTTTATAGTAATACATATAAAGATGATTATAACGTCAATTAAATTCTTTAATATCAGTATAATAAATTTGAAATTTATACTTATAAACATACTTTTAAACGTTTGTGCTCACATGAAGTTTTAATTACTATGATCCAATAGGCGAACTTTTCTCATTCAACACATTTAGATCATGTATGACACAGATTTGTTCAGAAAATATTTTTTAAAATTTTATACTTTAATTACTTAAAGTTAAATTAGTTGTTATTTTAACTGTTTTGTGCAAAAAATATATATGATGCAATGTGCAATCATAATAATTCATCAAAAATAATCAACACAGTATTTGGATCTGAAATTGGTTATTTATTTTTATGGCATTGTGCATTATGTTCTGCAACTAAATTCAGTTATTATTTTTACATACATTTTTATAATTTAAGAGCATTAATCGATGTGTATGATAAAAATCAATTTTATTATGTTATTTAAGAGCCGGTTATTTGATATCATGAGGTAATACTACCTTATAAAACTTACAACGCCGCACTAGGCCTAAGATTTCTCTTGACGGCTCATAATACAAAAAGATTTCCGATATTAAATTTCCGTAGTGAAAAAGCACAAATTAACATTTCTTTTAATATTGAAATACGGACGATAAGAAGCAAAAAAGATTTTTAATACCTCAAACAACTTATTAAATATTTTTATAGGAAAATTTGCGCCTCTGAGTCAATCACTTAAAATATTAAAGTAAGTTTTTGATATAAAAAGATTTTACAGAATGATATAAAATTATTTCTCTTTTGAAAAGAAATAGTGAATATAGTATTAAGTTTTCAATCACGAAAGTCCTTTAAATGCTAAATTAGTTATAAATGTAATAATAATAAGTAAATTTAATATAAAACTTAGATAAAAATACATTTTCTTTGAAATGGTCAGTTTAACGTTGGGTCGTCGGTTCTGTTCTATGGCATAAAACTAGTAGAAACTACGAATTAAAAATATCTGTTCTTTTTGAGTACTTCAGATTTTTTATATTAAACTCACGTACTTAATCAACGTCATTGGGTAAAAAATATTATTTTATTTATAACAATCGTTGAAACCGATTAAGTCTTTTTGAGTCTTGCTATATAAAAATATAGCAAGACTCAAAAAGCTAAAAAGCTTACATTGTAACTTTTAATTTCCTAATACTGACACAGTCGACTAAACCTTGGACCTTTCTAAATATTCTCCGATCACTGCGACTTCATACTTCACTTTTTTCACAATATTCTATTAACAATAAGTGATAAGTATACCAATTTATAATGATTTTCAAAATACTAACTGAGTGCGAATTTCAGTAGTATATTTCCTCTATCACTGATAATTATTAATTTAAAAGATTAAAATCTAATTAATTTTTTTTTATATCCATAGTAATACTATATTCTAGGACTTCAGTGTGAAAACTTGACGAATACTAAAATTTCTAGCGCAATTTAATATTTGAGTTGAACTTTAATCCACTGTTCCATAATGTGACATGAAACATTTTTTATTGTGTCTATTTACATACATACTAAAAGAATAGGTATGTGCCTCGGGGATATAAAGTTCCAAAACCACAATGTAATATATATTTTATAAGTTACGACTTTCGAGAAAATAATTCAGATAAATCTCGAATTCTTAAAAATTTACTCCTTTTCCTGGTTCTTCATCCCTAGCGAACTAAATATTTAATTTCCCTGAATGCGGGTGACCATTTGAGTTTTATGGTTAAGAGTTAAAAAAAACTTGAGGTTTGTATAATTAATGTTTTCATTACATACATATGTTCACTGTACTGAAATTAGTTTATTTGCTTATTGTTACATATATTTTTGTTACATTTATTTAAATATTATAATATATACTTTACTATTTTCTGTTTAATTATTATAAAATAACTGAACCAAAACGTGTTAGTATTATCGTAATGTTCGATAAATAATAATTAATACTGATATATTTCAGATAATAAAATTGAAAAGTAGATTAAGATATTCATCTACTCTCCTAATTGTATTATTAACACTTAATTTATCTTAAGTAATTTTATTGGTATACATTCTGTAAATGTTAAAAGACATTTGATTATTTCATTCCATTTATAGGTACATTTTCTCTTTTGTTCTTTTTATATATTTTAATAATATTACTAAATTTCTCTTTCGAAGCAACGGTGGTGACAGCAAGGAATGCTAGTGTTGAATAGGATATAGGATAAATAAATAAGTTGTCGTATGGAAACAGTTAACGTATAAAGATTTGTTGGGTAAAAGGAAGAACATTTAAAATAAATTTAAAGCATTAT